GAGGAGGAGGAGGAGGAGGAGGAGGAGGATGAGGAGGAGGAGGAGGAGGAGGAGGAGGAGGAGGAGGAGGAGGACGAGAAGGAGGAGGAGGCGGCGGAGGAGGCGGAGGAGGATGAGGAGGAGGAGGAGAACGGGGGAGAGGGGAAGGAGGCGGAGGAGGAAGGATGAGGAGGATGATGAGGAGGAGGATGAGGAGGAGGGGGAGGTGGATGAGGAAGAGGAAGTTGGAGCGTCTGGGGGGGACCGCGAGTCTTCCCGAAGTACCGCCTCAGAAGGCGGTGTCGCCTGCAACTCTGACCGCCGAGGGGCTTTTGAGCCGCTTGAATGGCGGCGCGAGCGAGCGAGCGAGCGAGCGTCATCACCGTTGAAGGGGAGATGACGGTTCTGACTCTCCTGGTGATCTAACCGATACAACTGAAACTACATAGCAGTGAATTTAAATGGCCTCGGGATTAGGGTGGGCAAAGCCTAGAGCCAGGAAGGGGTCCGAAAACAGGGGGGGGGCGGCGAAGTCATATCCGACATGTCTACGGGTGAGCATATACATGGGCGAGCACTCAACATAATAGTGCTTGAGTGAGTCGCGGGCCCCACGACATCCCCAAACGCAGCCCCTGTATGGGTTGCGCATCCTGGACTCCGTGATCCACCCACCTCCCCACGTCTTGATGCTGGAACCCCTCCACGACGGAGGCACGCGACGCATCACCGAGACGACGGCCGACCAGTCGATCGCGGCAGCATCGGCAGGGGAGGCCCCAAACCAGCAACAAAGACGATTGCCCAAACGAAGATGGAGGAGAGGAGGAGCGGGGGGGACAGGGAGCGTCGAACGAAGGAGCGAAGAATAGAGGAGATTCTGTGCGCGCACCCGCGGCGCCAGCTCCTGGCCCCTGCCCAGTCCTGGGGGCGCTCGGAGGGCTGGCTCGGCGAAGGCCTGGTGCAATGCGCGGACGGCGAGCGCGCGGGCCGAGCTGCCGTGCTCACTCACCGCCGTCTAAAAGTGTCGTGGCGATGGCGTCGCTCGGCCACCAGGAGGGCCATGGTCGGCCTGCGATCGTGCGCACGATCGGGAGGTGCCAGCGGGCGGTCCGACGAAGGTCAGCAGCCGCCGTAGGAGGAGGATGAGGATGAGGATGAGGATGAGGATGAGGATGAGGATGAGGATGAGGAGGAGGAGGAGGAGGAGGAGGAGGAGGAGGAGGAGGAGGAGGAGGAGGAGGAGGAGGAGGAGGAGGGGGAGGAGGAGGAGGAGGAGGAGGGAGGAGGGAGGAGGGAGGAGGAGGAGGAGAGAGGAGAGGAGGAGGAGGAGGAGGAGGAGGAGGAGGAGGAGGAGGAGGAGGAGAAGACGGCGATCGTCGTCGTTGTCGTCGTCGTCGTCGTCGTCGTCGTCGTCGTCGGACCAAGTGTCCTGCGTAGCCATTTGGGCTCAAAAACCCAGCTCGGTGCTTACAGGCCCCGCGGCCCTGTCGCTCGGACTGCGGGCGGTGGTCAGGAGCTCTGCCACGGTGCGAACGAGAAAAACACGGCCTCTCCCAAAGCGACGTTTTTTGGGGGGTATGAGGGAGGGGGAGGGAGGAGGAGCAGGGTGAGGAGAGGGGGGTCTCTTCGGGAAATCCTGGGATCGTCTCGGGGCCATCATGTCGAGACAGGTGTACGTGGAGGGGCGCCGGGAGTGGGGGGGGGGACGAACGAACGACGACGAGGAATGATATCTTCCTTCTCCCTCCTCCTCCCCTCCTTCCTCTTCACTCCTCCTCCTTCTCCGCACTTCCACCTCCTCCCCCTCCTTTTTCCCCGTCCCTCTAGCCCTCTCCCTCCTCTCTCCTCCTTCTCCTCCCCCGTGCTCCCCCCTCGCCCCTGCTTTCCTTTTTGTTCCTCCTCTTCCTCTTCTTCCTCCTCCCCCCCCCTGGTCGGCCCTCGTCCCTTCCCCCGCTCGCCCCCTCCTACACATATTCCAAGAGCCTTTTTTTTATCAGGAGCGCTATCGCGACAAGCAGTCGCAATGTGGAACGTCGCATAGTCATGTACCAGCAGTAAGCAACTTTCGAACAACATGGCAACATAAGGACGACACGCATTCCCTGGTCACTTGCCACGTGATCTGTCAACCTCCACCCTCGGACACATGGTCCGCATGAGTGACGGGGAGGGTGTTATCTGCAAGCCGTATTGAAGTGTACAAGCTAACTGTTGGATGACTCCATCACGAGCGTGATTTGGATGCCAAAGAATCCGGTCGTTCGGATTGAAGACGAGCAGCTTTGTGAAACTCACGGGTTGAATTTTGGTGGGATCTCCGCACTATGGTTAAATGCGGGTGTTGGCGAACCTTCACATTTGAATGATAGTTGTTGTTATTTCTCCCACCATTGCCCATTGTGGTTTGTTGATGTGCCCTCCCCTGGGCTCATTCTCTGTCGTGCATCAGAGAACATATTGGGCCTCGCATTACACTGTTGGCCACTGGTCTAAAACAAAAACGGCTCCCGCCTGAGACTTCTTCACAATCTTCTCAAGGATCGTGATCTCGCCGGGGGCTTCCTCGCAATTAGCTTGGGCATCGCGCTCTCGCCGTAAACCCTCTTTTCAGAAGAATTTATTTGAGAATCGCGTTCCCACCGCTCAAGAATCGCTCTCTCGTTTGAAACATCCTGGCATTTTCGTCATTGCCCTGCATGCAAAAGCTGCGCCCTCCCCAATCAGGGCTTATACTTCCACCCAGGACCGTCCATCAATTTGATAGAAGACTCGCACTATCGCTTGGGACCTGCTCGCGATCTGCCCAACACTCGCGCATTCATGTGCCGCCCGCCCAGCCCGCGGGTCCGTCAGCATGGCCCGCCCGCCCACTGGGGTCCGCCCGCCCGCCCGAGGAGGAGGAGGAGGAGGAGGAGGCGGAGGAGGATGAGGAGGAGGACGAGGACAAGGACAAGGACATCCGCATAAAGGGGGTGTAACGTGAAAGCGCCGACGCTGGTGTCTTACGCACTTCTGCCCACATCCCCTGCGATTGATTGTGCAACAGCCCTGCCTTCTCGCGTAGGCCGGCAGGGGGCATGCCACGTTGCTCAAGGACTAAGCTCCCAAGTGGCCCCGTAAGAGGGGCCCGCTGCCTTCTTTCACGAGTCCCTGCGGGCCAGCGCTGGGGGAGCGACTGCTGGCCCTTCCGCGTGCCCTGAGGAGGGGGCGCGCGGGCTTAGCAGTGCGCCCAAGCCAGGGGGGAGAAGATGACGACGCGACCTCTCGAAGGAGGAGAGGGGGGAGGGTCGGGAGGCCCGTGCCCCCAAACTGTTGCTGGGGGGGCTGCTTACTCTACAGTTTTAAGTATATACTCCCCTTTCCCGCTCGGCTCACTCCTCGGCCTGGCCGAGAGTTGCCCCATGCATTGTCGCATCTATTCTCTGATACCCTGTTGTAGTATCCCACCGATCCCCCTCGAAGTGTATGTGGGGTAGAGCACTCTGGTAGTCACGGTATACAGTGGGTGGGGCCATCGAGGAAGAACTCGGATCACATTTTTCTCCTTCGACACCCTGCAGTAATGTACCCATCGGTACTCCCAAACATCCTTCCCATTGCGATGACAGTGCGAGCACTCCGTGATGCCCGTCCTGTTCGCCCCGAGTAGCACTCCGAGAAAACCTCGCCATTGCATCTCTTGGCTGCCTGTGGGCTTGTCCAGCCTGCCCAGAGTAGCACGCCGAGAAAACCTCGCAAATGCTTCCCGTGGTGTTCTAGCAGGCTCCAGTGGTGGTGGCCGCTGGGGGAGCTGGCCGTTGTCGTCTCTTCCGGCTTGGGTAGTCGAAATTCGCTTCGAAGATCTCGGTGCCATCCAGCAAGGTCTGCGTGCTGTCTCGTGGCTTCTGGCGCTCCTTGAGCCTCTTCACTTCCTCTGGGTCGAGATTGTCCTCGTTGCTCCGCTCCGTCAAAGCGACCTTCGTGACTTGGTGGAGGTTCCCTTCGTCGTTCTTTGGTATATTCAGCGACAGCACGCACCAGCTCTGCACAGTAAAGGCCGTCCTCCCTGCCCTTCCCCACGCGT